AAAAAAAAAAAAGTTTTAACTGGAGTAAATTAGAGAAAAATAATTCAATTAGGTATATTAAGAAGTATAGAATTTAATAAGAAAGAACCAGAAAACAATTAAAAAAACCAACTAGTTTAAAAAATATATTTAGATTGGATTTAATGGAGACATTTTGGAATTTTCATCAATAAAATGGGGACATATATAAAAAAAAATTTGAGAATTTATAGGGTAAAATTTTAAAAACCAAAAATTCAGGGGGGGCATTTGCCCTCCCTGGGCCTCACCTGCCTCCGCCGGTGCGTGTGTTGTACTAAATGGTTTTGGAATTGAGTTGTAAATTTGTAATTAGTTGAAAATGTATCGTGATGGTCAGAGATTCAAAATATTTAAGGATTCAATTTAGCAAATGTTTTTTTTTTTTTTTTTTTTTTTTCAGCAAATGCTTTGAAGCCAATAGGAAGAATGAATAATAGTGACAACTTATGTCTCTGCACTTTATGGCACGAGTTAAATCAAAATTCAGAAAACAGTTAGGCAGTTGTTCGGCTTAAATTCCCGTCGGTTTTAATCAAACCATGTATTTCAGCCAAAATAATAATAATAATAATCACACCATGTACAGTTGACAAACAAAATCAGTAATTCCTTTTTGTCTACTTAATCTGTTCACAGACGTCTAATCAACTCCCAACACTTTGGACCCAGATAGAAACTCCATATTCTAAATCCCAATTCCCAACTGACTTATCTCCATTATGTATAATATTGACAAATCCTCAGAGCATTTGTTCCAATCGTGTTATGCATTGTGAGGGCATGATAAATTAAAAAATGCAGGATAGTTACGTGATTATTATTTATCATTATTGAAGCTGTCACTAAATCACGAAATGGCTGCAACAAGCCAAATAATATCAGCAAAATCCAACAAAATGAGCCTTTATTGCACAAGTATAAGCAAGGCCTGTGGAAAAATCCAAGTTTCTGATAACTGTTTCAAAGCAACTTCGTCATACAACCAGATAGAGCCACATTAACATCTTTGTTTTTGTTTTTTGTTGTTTGTTTTTGTTTTTTGTTTTTTTTTCCTCTCAATGAAAGCCATAGAGCAATATAATCTCATTATATGTGGACATAACTTTTCTCAATTAAACCCCTTTGTTGAATAGTAGGGCTTTTAGCAAATCTCTGATCCAGTCACTCAGAATTCAACCTTTGAACATCTACCAACTGGTAAAGATCGCCTCGCCGCTGCTTCTGTAAGGGAAGGTTTGTCCTGAATAATTTAAAAGAAAGTGTTATCAGATGTGTATTAAAAAGAAGAAGACAAGCTACGGATTGAGACTTAACAAGGAAAAAAATGCTATACTGGAAGGTTGAATACCTTCTAAGCTCAATAATTGAATAATCAATCTCTGCTATGACTATCGTCTCTTCATGTTCTGCAGTAGCCAGGACTTCTCCAAACTGTCTCAATCAATAGTCCAATGTTATTCTTGTGGTGAAATAAGGAGAATTCCAAAGTAGCCAGTAGGGTATAAAAAAATAACCGTATTAGTAAGACATAGTTATGAACCGTCAGACTCTATCAAAGTTAAATCAAATTAAGAAAAGTAAGACAAACTTAATAAAAGGATAAAAATCCAACGGTTCATAACTGTGCCTACGAAAGAAATCTCCGTAAAATAAACCGCACGAATCTTCAACACGTATAAGAAAGATCACCTTCTATCTCAGATCGCAGAGAAAAATGAAGAGATTCAAATTACGAGACATTGAAAATAGATCTAGTAAATATTCAGTTGGACCAAAAAAAAAAAAAAAACATTGGTATTCACTTACTGGTCCAACAAGGGTGGAGTGGCCCCAAGCCACATAACCAGCTCCAGCATCCCGAGCAGGTGAACAAGTTGCTACATACAACTGACATTTCAAAACAACGACCTGTTAGGCAATCCTTATTTTTAACAGATAAAAAGCCTAACTTGCTAGGTGATTACACAGGAAGAAAAAGGGGGATGCATACGTATAAATGTTAAATCTTTCACCAAGTTACAGAAGTTAAATCTTTCACTAAGTTACTATTTGGTTCCTATTAATATGCCATTTAACAATTATCGTGAATATGGTATACTCCAGCAAATCGTAGTGAGTAAATTTATTGTAGTACCTGATTATCCGCAGCCCTGTACAAGACAAAAAAAGGAAAATTCAAGTAAGAATGAGTTGATATATAGCTAGAAATTGCATGGATAATACCATCTTGATAAAGCCTCAGCAAGATATCATTGTATAAAATGACAGGAGTGCAAATTTAGCATAGACTTTAGATCAAAACAATGAGTCCATATAATAGGTACAAATCTTGAAACATGTGCAAAGATCATAATCTTGTTCGATCATACAGATAAATAATCACAGGCCGTAAGAATGCTTCTTCACTATTATTGATTGTTGATGTTTCTTAAATCACATTTGATCTCACATTTTAAAGCCCACAGATATCTATTTACCAAAAATAACTCTCATACACAAGCAAATAACTCTTTGCAATCACTGAACACAAAAAGGCAAAAACCACTTGTAATACCTTGCTCTCTGCAGCAACTCCCAATGCAATGGTCCAGTAGTCATGTTAAAGGCCCCGGGATAACATAACAAGTGAGCACCTGATGTCAAAGAACTTCACAACTGTCAAAGTTCGGTTTTGTCAAGAAAGAAACTCACTATATCTTGTGAAAAAGCAATTCCAGAGGTCAATTGAAGGAAACCAAAGACTATAATAATCAAGAAAAGGCCAACCTCTTGCTGCATAAATCATAGCTAGTTCCTGAAACCGAAGATCGTAGCAGATACCTACACCAATACGCCCTACTTCTGCATAAAACTCTTGATGGTTACTTTCTCGTAAAGAAAATTGTAATACTTTCGTAAGACTACAAATAGAATAGAAGTTTGTGTGTATGTGTGTGAGAGAGAAGAAAAGATCATAACCGCCTGATCATCACAAACTGTGCTGTTGAAATAAGAATCTTATATTGAAGGAAAATGACCATCAAACCTGTGTCTACAATGGTAGGACTCTGGCCAGCAGTCAAAGTCTTTGATTCAATGAAGGTAATCTTCCCAGGGATGTCAATATCAAAAAGATGTATCTGCAATCACATGTATATGCGAAGCCCTGGCTAGCTTAGTGACCATTTAAATCTTCTTCAAGATATTACGATGCAAAATAAAGAATGTCATTCCGTGAATTTTAATCCATTATTCAAAATATGATCTGCTCAACCTTGTAGTTTGCTTTTTAAGCATCAGAATTGACTATGCGCCGGACAAAGTTGTTGGAAGAGACTGAAGCATAAGTTCAAGTTAAGCAATACTCTCATAGTCAATATCAATCATATTCTGGTCATTATGAAAACCCAATTGAAAGACATGGAATCATTTGAACCACAAAAGATTCATCAAGAACAAAGTCTCACATTATAAGGCAGATCCAAAATTTCTTCAGTAAAATAGGACTTATTTCAAGTATTAGTTCCATATTTCTATGGTTCAATAATGTCTAAGTATGCACAATCAAATGTCAAAACATACCTTCCTGTGTTTAGCTTTAAGCTTTCCATCAGAACCGAAGATGCAACAAGTATTGTACAACTTATCCCTGACACGTTCTGGTATAGATCCACCAACTATGGTGATTTTAAGAAGACGAGCAACTTCAGAAAGCATGGCTGTTGAAGGAGATGCATCACCACCGGCATCAATATCTTCCGCGTAAACAGGGAAGGAATCATTTGAATATGGACTGTTCCATATTTCCTGACATAGGAAGAAATATTCATTCTTTGAAGCATAGCGCCAGTTTGATATTGTTGTGCTTAAAAAGAAAAAAAAAAATTTCCTATTCTGCAAGTAGCAGAAGCTCAAAGCGAGACCATTTAGCTGCTCAAAACGACCGTGAAAAGTAATTGGGTTCTGTGACAATCACTTTCATTTTACCAAACAGACTGCTTCAGAAAGTTGCTTTCTATACATCGTATTATGAAATAATTTAACCAAAAGCAGGTTTACCAAATGCGCGTTGTTACTGAAGTTCTCTTATAATAATTTTTACGAGCTGCGAAAGCAATCATAATGTCAATACTTTTCACTTAATAGACTAGTTGGAACCATTACTGGAGCAAGTTCTGTCAAGTATCAACTAGTTAATATTTTTCTCAGATGCCCCCAATTTAATGCTATTCTGTGTCTTATCTTATCTTACTATAACTAAGACCCATCATCTGAAAACAAATGAACATTCTACCAAATCCCAATACAAACAAGAAGCAAAGTTCACTAATTAATATACACTCCGAAAAAAAAAAAAAAAAACAAAAGAGAGAGAGACATTAACATAGAAACTCACAGGAAGCATAATGAGCTGAGCACCCTTTGAGGCGGCCTCCTCAATGGCCTTACGAGCATGGGCAATGTTCCTCTCCTTATCCGGCGTCACCGACAGTTGACAAAGCCCGATCTTAAACTGCAAAAAAAATCAACACAAAAACCCCAAAACCCACAAGACCCAATTCAATTTTAAGTCCATAATCGCAATCCACAAACACAAACAAGCTTAAAATAAGAAGTAAATTATAGAAACAGTAATAAGTGTTTTGTGCACAAAGTATCTTGCCTTGGTGACGGGAGGAGCGGGCAAGGAAAGGGCCGGTGGGGCCCGGGCTTGTTCGGGCTTGTACGAGGATGCCATTATCGAAGAGAAATGGGTGGTGTGGATTCGAGATGTTTTGTCGAAATTGGTGCGAATTTGGTGGGTCTTGGTGGGTGTGGGAGAGAGGAAGGAAGGGGAGCGAGGGAAGACGGGCTTTGAGTGGAGAAGAGTGGTCCGAGAGCAGTGAAAGTTAAGATTCTTGGAAGATATCAAAGAAGAAATTGCTGCTTTCATTTCACTTTCACTTCTCAACTCTCGCTCTGTCCCTCAGTTTGCTTCGCTCGCACTTTGCCTTGTTTTCCTTTTTCCTGGTTTGACTAATATTGTTCTTGGAAGTATGTTGTCGTTTGCAGGGAAACGACATGTCATTCTTTTAATATTAAAGGTTTGTTGGTGTCATTTATATTTCATAACAACATAATGCTTGTGTGTGTGTGTGTGTGTGTTTTTTTTTTTTTATTCCGACATAATGGTTGTTAGTTTGACAGTTTTTTTCCCCCCTTAAGAATGTAATGATAGATTTCTTTGTTTTTAATGCTTTTGGATTAGAATCTGCTATCCTCTAGTGGAAGTGAGATGTCGTTCTGTACTTTGAAATTTCCGCTGTCGTTTATGCCCGAAAACTACGTGCCATTTGATTTTGTAATTTAAAAGTTTGTTATTGTTTTTTTTTTTTTAGCAAAAAAGTTTGTTATTGTTTAACTAAAAGTAATATGTCGTTTTCTAGAAGTTTGAGTGACTTTCGTTTAGTTCCTCAACGACACCTCCTTTGTTGCATAAATTTTGCTGTCGTTTATGCTTAAAACAACATGTTTGTTTGTGACTATTGTGCAATTGTGCTATAGATTCGAATAGAAACGAAATGTCGTAAATATTGGTTCGTTTGTTCTATTAAATAATTTTATATTGACTAAAAATATTCCTTTTTTGATTGACGTTTTTAAATAAATATTGAGAAGAGTAAAACCATGATTTTGTACAAATTTATTATTTATGTCATTTTAAATAATTAGGTATTGTTGTAGTATTTCATTTTCTTTTAAGTACTGGAATTACAATTGTTTATTTTTTTTACCAGAGTGACATAAATAATATTTTTACCACTTTAAGTGATTTTTTTATTTTTTCTCAATAATATTTGAGAAGTTAACTTGTATATTTTATCCAAAACTTTTTTTCCATTTCCATAAAAAAAACTTTTTTGCCATTTATTTCAATAAAATAAAATTTTGCCGTTAATATTTCAGAAACCGTAATGGGCCTCATGGGCTAACATTGATGTTGAGCTTCAACTCTCTAGCCCAAGAACATCCGAATTTCAGAAGAAACCTCCAACCGTCGCTTTGTCCTAACGGTCATTAACTGCCTCTCGCGCCTGTTCTTCATCATCTAAATTAATTAATTTCGTGACCTCCTTTAGTTTCCAATTCCAGTTCCATCTTCTTCTCTCTCAAGCACCAAGTGGGCACACCACCACCGGTGCTTTGAGATCCTCCTCTAATACGCCACCCTTGGTGGCGGTGCTTTGTCTTCACGCGCCGCTACTAACGGAAAAATTATATTGATTCTTACGTATATGTTTTTATAATTGGCATGCATGGCAGATCCTAATGGGGCAATTATTCCGTGCTTTAACGTCTACGATGTCCCATATGTGGATGATCTTCTCAACATGGTGACGGCAACCGAAAATGCGAACCCAAGCTTACTGATGGATCAATATTTATCACCTTCGGACAATGGTCAACCCTCTTACCGTAACTCCGCTTCACTTCCTCCGTCTGATCAAGATCAGTACGTGACTCATGGATATCATGTAGCACTTTCCGATCCCAATAACAGTAATAATGATAATAATAATTTATTACACCAAAATCCCGATTCGTGGATTCTTTGTGGGTCTACTTCTGATGGGGCAGGGAGTTCTCGAGCGGGATTAATAATCGATCAAGAAATTATAAACAATAATCAGCAGGCTCAACAAGAGAACGTGGAATTGCCCGCACAGAATAACTTTACTGGTCATGATCAGAACACGATGCCACTTCAGGCTTGGCCTGTGCAGTTTAACTGTAGTTCTTGCCAAGTTCTTAGGGAAATCGTTCATGTTAATGGTAAGATGTTTTTAGATTTATGATTAAGGATAATTAAAACTAATAGTAGCACAGAACAATCGATTGAAACTTGAGATTCATGGAAGGCTTGGCTTGATCTGTCATGGTGTTCTTGAGAGGACGAATGCCTATGTGAACAATAATACTTCAGGAGATCGTCAGTTTGAAATGATTGAGTAAGTTTTTATTTTATTTTATTTTCTTTTTCTTCATGTGTCCGTTGACTGCTAAAAAAAAGTCAAATGATTTAGTAGTTTAATTTCTACACACTCAAAAGGATCATAAATAACAGTTTTTCAAAATTCAAGCCAATTAGATTTTTATCAGCTTAAATCAAGACTCGATTCTTTTGAAGCAGTTTTCATAGAAAAAGCACCGAGGATGTAAAGGAATATCTTATACAGTACTGCTTACTAAGAAAACAAGAGGGTTACGTGATATTGATGAACGATCCGTTGTCTATGTTCTATGATGCTCTCTCCATTGGAATGGCGTGGCGCGAGTTTCTTCTCAATGATGATTACTTTGTTGATGATCAGAATCCTTTACTGAATACTACAGTAATTAATTCAGGTGGTCTCTCCTTATATATCCTGATTAGTGCATGAGTTATGTTAATAAGTTTTTTGACCAAGGTGTTATATATATACTACAATAGAAAAGTGAAATTGTGTTATATATTCTAATGAATTCAGATTTTCTATTCAATTTCAGTGTCTCAAATAATGTCTAATCAATAACATTATGTCATTTCATTTGAAAAATTCGAAATGTTTTTTAAAATTTTTCATTGTGCTTTAATGTTTGAGTTCATTAAATGACATGGTACAATGTAATTGGTTGGATTAACTTTCGATACCAACACTTGGAGATATCACTTTATTGCACCATCAATATAAGACTTATTATGTAAGAATGACATGTTCTGTCGCGAAATATTTATATTAATCAACTTTAATTTTCTATATTATAGTTGGAGAAAATCAAATGGAACAACGTCCAGAACAACAAGGACAATTTCAACAACAACAAGGAGAAGAAGCAAATCCACCGGCCCCTCGGAATGAGAGACAAAGGAATCGTCGTATGGTTTCCCTTGCAGAACAGGTTGTTGCTCCACTCCATCTTTTTGTTCAATCTTTCCTTTTTCTTTTTTTCCTATGTAATTTCATGTTAGTTAAAAAAAAATTATAAATGAAGTTTTGTTTTTGACATATGGTAATTATATTATTGTTGGTGATATTGGGGACTAGAGCAGAGGCAAAGAACGGTAAAGATGTCATTGAGTGATCTCCAAAGCGTTCTCCATCTTCCCATGGATGAGGCTGCTAGGTCTCTCAATGTATGCCCTACTGTTGTCAAAAAGATATGCCGCAAGAATAATTTGGTTAGATGGCCTTTCAGAAAGGTATCTCTTCTTCTTCTTCTTCTTCTTCTTCTTCTTCTTCTTCTTCTTCTTCTTCTTCTTCTTTCCTTTTTTGGTTAAGCTAAATATTCTGTTCTTCATATTATAATTTCGACATAGTACAGATCAAAAGCATCCGAGGGAAAATAGAAAAATTGAGGCGATGTTTGGACTCGAGTAATGCGGAGACCAGGCATCGAGCTCAAGCTGAAATCAATCGACTCCGTGAAGAAGCCGCGACTGCTTGTGGTGGAATCAATATATTGTGATAGTAACTATATCTTTTTTTCTTTTTTCTTTTCAAGTTATTGTAATATTGGTCGTGTTTAAAATTGATCATGTTTTTTGTTTTTCACCTTTTATGAGAAAAAGAATGAAAATGTTTTTAAAACGGCATTTGGTGCAATAAAGACAAAAAACGAAAGTGAAAATGATTTTTTGGTTTAGTATAAAATGAGAGAGAAATGAAAAACGACTTTTAATCTTCATTTTTTATTTTCGTTTTCTCATCTCTCCAGCAGAGAGAGAGAGAGAGAAAGAGAGACATTAATGAGTTTTTTACACTCAAAACAATCTCTTGACAAAACTAGCAAACGCATTTTCAAAAATGATTTCTATATGAGATTAAGAACGTTTTCATTTTCATACAAAAAATAAAATCATTTTACAACGAATTCTAAACGCGTCCATTGTTTCCTAGCACAATAATTTTTCCTCTCCCTTTTTGTTCAAGTTTTGTGTTGTTAATTCGTAATTCTTATTATTTTTTCATTCATCGGATTTCTATACATTTGTATGAATACTATTATTCTCTTGTTGTATTTTGAAGTAATAAACGAGAATTCTTTGTGGTCCATTGAAAGTTGCGGAATGAAAGTTGTTTGCATTATTTAGGTTACAATCACTAGAAAGACAAGTCGACCTTTTTAAGGCAAAGAAAGTTGAAAATTGCGAGCCGGCTATCTTGGCGTTATACGTTATCAGATAAAACCATCACTAATATACAAATTTAAAATTTATTTCATATATAAATATATATAAGAGGAATTTTGATTTATACACAAGTTATAATCAAGACTACCTTATTATTCGGACGTATAGACCTATAAAACTCCCCCTCCTAGAGGAGCTCGTACATGGTGGCAAAACCTATGACACCAATGATTTTTGTCGCCCTCTGAATATTTAGTTCTCATGAATCAAGGAATTAAATCCCAATCACACAAAAGAAAAACCCAAGATCTCATTTTACCAGTTAAAAGCTTAGAATAACGAAATGGGGAGTGCTCAGACAGTAGTATGCGTGAAACAAGTGAAGCAAGACGTGGCAGAAGAGTGGGATGAGAGCATGCCACTGCCGGGAGACATCATCGAAGGCTTTGCGGAGACTGATGAGGAAGAAGAGGTGTTTGTGCCGACGAAAGCCAAGTCGGAGCTGAGTTCCCAGCTCGGGAAAATCAGCCAACAAGCAGAGGTCATATGGGTGAAGGTGAGGAGGGGCGAGAACTTGCTAAAGCTCCGGGCACGCGTTGCGCATGACAAGTGTTCGGTGCTTCAAAGAAGGTTCACCATCAAAGCGGCTACGGATGACAGGCATGTTGCTGTTTTGGGGGACTTGACGCTAGATCAGTGCACCAAGTTGCAGGGTAGGGCTTTTTTCGCCAACTTTTTCTTCTCTGCCTTGAAGTTCAAGCTATCTTTTCAGAGAAGGCTTTGATTCATTCATACACTAGATTACATTAGACTCTTATATTGAACTTCCTAAAAAAAATTCGATTCATAATCTTAAAAATTCGAGGAGAAACACCATACATGAATAATTAATATATATTCCACTTAGACGTCTTTCTATAAATCTTAAAGAAAGTGTCAAGTCTACCATTCTATATATGTACTCAACAAAAGATTTAGGGGGGAAGTGCTATAACGAATTAGACACTTTAATCCTCTATTAATTAGCGCGATAAAACAAAATAAAATAAAAGCTATCAAGTGCGTGACATATAAATTTTATAATTGTTCACTCAATGTGAGAGTTATGCCCACTTTTATTTTCACTGTGATGAGAAAATTACAAAAAGAAAACACACGCCGCTTTCTAGACTTACTAGGTTTTTTCTATAATATATATTTCCAAAATCTGTGCCACTTAATATATGTGAAATCAAGGCAATTGAAGTAAACATAAGTTGGAAACCCCAATATACGTTAAGATCAATCCATGCACTAATTCTCAATCTGGACAATAATTATACCCCACACACCTAACAATTCTCTACTTTGTAGTTGAACATGAGAGTTGATAGCTGCACCATGTGAAAATCTGTCCGCTTATAATAGAAACTCTCCTGGAGAGTATACTGGACATTTGTAAGCTCAATTATAAAGCCTCAACATATCATTCAATTTAATTGCAGTAAATAGACTTGAATAGGCCATCTTATTAGTGAAGCTTAAAAGGACAATAATGCCCGAAAACATGGTAATTATATGAGGAGTTTTCTTTTACCCAACTGCAGAAATGAGCAGGACGGTTGTAAATTCTAGATGTAGCGAGTTCAACAAAAGAGGAGTGAAGTATGATTGGAAGGTGAAAGTGGACACGTACTTGCCAGACCACCGTTGTACGGTCATTACCTCCATTCTGTTCATGCCCTTGCAAGGGGAGCACTCCAACATTCACCCCACAACAGTTAGGTTAATGGCTTGGTTCACCGCCGCAGTTTCTTCGGGAGTTCCTCTTGTCTTTGTCAACATTCAAACAGAACAGATTGTCTCAACCTTGGTACATACTTTCTTGAGACAAAAAAAGAAAAGGATCACTACCACAATTTATTTGTTTATTTGTGCTAGTTATACATATAGTGAAGCCAATGCCTGTTTTGATACTAGTTTACATGTTTTCTTTTGAAGGACAAGGCAAAAACTAGTTTTGCTGGAAGAGAAATAGTTTGGGGTAGGCAACAAAACCAGACTGCAAATATCCAATTTGTTCAGGGGATAAGACTCTGGTTTCTACCAGGAATAACAGAAATCTCACTCGAAATGACACCAAAAGACGGAGAAGAGCGGATGGATATCAAACGAACAGAAGAGGTACCTAACTCCATTATGCAAAACTAAAAGCAATTACATAATAGAATAACTAACAATTTCTCCTTTTCTTTTCTTTCTTTTCCCTCTGATTTCTTCTACAGGGCTTCATTTGTGTGTTCTCAGTGACAAAAGGATCGGCCGCTGATAGAGCCGGTCTTTGCAGCCTATACGAAGAAGCATACGCAAGTGGACACTCGCTTGTGATATCTCGTTTAGAAGGGAAGAGCGTGATGCCTTCACATGTCTGCTCAGCGGGGCTCATAAACTGTTGTGATCACAATGAGATTAGGGACACTCTAACCTCAGCCATTGACCAAATGGAAAAGATTCAGCTCCACATCATGGCATGGCCGAACCAAGTACGGCCTCACACCCAAGGTGCTGGTGTTACCTCGCTTAGGCCTCCTAATGGATCTTGTCCCCCACAACCATTTTGATACAAATCTTAAATACATATGACTGCGTGGAGCAATTTTGTCAAGTTCTGTTTTCTTAATTAGACAGATCTTTTTAGTTGCTCATATATACAGGTTACTTGCCATGTCTATAAATAATATGGTGCAGTAAAAGTCAGCGAATTCAGTGATGTTATTACTTTCTTTGCTCTCAAAAACATGTAACGACTTTTTTTTTTTTTCCAAATAACAAACAGTACCTGGCTTCACAAAATGGTTTGAACACCAAATACATACTTATTACTGCATTTCTAGTTTAAAAAAAAAAAAAACAGTACAGTGTGATACAAATTGTTTATTTTGTTTTAAATTTGAAAAAGAAGTCGAGCAATTTTGTTAAGTTCTGTTGTTTTAAATAGGTACATCTTTTACAGTGGCATAGATTATGCTCAACAAACATTTGCCATGTCTATAAATAATATGGTGCATTAAAAGCTAACGAATTTACATACCACGATATTTTTTTTCCTGAGAAAACAAACAATGCTATTTTAAAAAAAATAAAAATAAAAACAATATCTCGCTTCCTTAATAGTTGTTAGATTTTAATGAGGTCTTTGTAATTTTCTCATACAAAAATATGATCCCCTCACTGCAAATAAAAAAAGAAGGAAATAATTTCCCCTCCTTTTAAATCTCAAACATGGGGCTTGAAACTCCTCCGCTCCAAACTTTTCACCGTTGTCAATGTCTCTAGCACGTAGAGCCCTGACCAATTCTCAAGACAACGCCATAGTGACCTCCATAACCTCTCTTCTCCAAGCTCTGAACCCCCAAAGTTCGAACCTTTCCGACCTTAGCTCAGAGCCTCTGAACCAGTTCTCACCCGACCTGAACCCAAACTTAGTCATCCGGGTCATCAAGAACCAGTCCAATCCTTACCATGGCCTCTTCTTCTTCAACTGGGCTTCAAATCCAAGTCCCAATCCATGTAACTATTCCCACACTTTCCAATGCTTCGCCGCCATTACCGATCTCCTCCTCTCTCACTTCCTCTTCTCCACCGCGTCGTCGCTTCTCTTGCAGTCTGACAAGCTTTCTGATTCTATGATCGGTAGGTTCATCAAAGCTCACGGCAATCGCGGCGATATCAGAGCCGCAATCGATTGGTTTCACAGAGCGAAAGCGATCGAGAACGGGCGTTGCCTATCGTCGTACAATGCCGTGTTGGCCGTGATGGTGAGTGCCAATCGGATAAATTTAGCGAAGGCTTTTTATGATCAAATGATGGAGGAGAACTTGGTGAAGCCCGATGTTTTCACTTACACGACGATGATCAGGGGTTTTTGCAAAATGGGCATGGTTGAGCATGCACAGAAGATGTTCGACGAAATGGGTTGTGACCCAAATTCGTTTACTTGCAATACTTTGATAACTGGGTATTGCAGGAAAGGTGATATGGAGAGTGCCAGGGGGGTTTTTGGGTTTATGATGGAGAGTAAGATTTGCTTGCCTGATACTGTGACTTATACGACTTTGATCGATGGGTACTCCAAGAAAGGTGAAGTGGGAAAGGCGATCAATTTGTTGAAGGAAATGGAGGAACGAGGTATCGAGCCGAATGTATTCACTTACAATGCGCTGATTCACGGGTTGTGTTTGATTGGAGACCTTCACGAAGCGAAGAGGATGATTACGGAGATGAGGCTAAATGGCATAAAGGATGATGTAGGAACGCACACGACTATATTGAAAGGGTTGTGCATTACAGGGAAGCTTGATGAAGCATTTGCAGTTCTTAGGGAGATGGTTTTTCTCGGCATGAATCTGGATGTGAAAGCATATGGGGTTGTTTTAAATGAGTGTTGCAGAAGGAGAAAACCAGAGGAAGCAATTTCGCTTTTGAGGGAGATGAGGGTGCAAGGCCTAAATCCGCATGTTTCAAGTTTTAATGCGGTGCTCAGGAGTCTTGGTGAGAATGGGGAATTGGACAGGGCTAGTCTTCTTCTAAAGCAGATGCCAAAAATGGGTTGCTCTCCGAATTTCGTGTCATATTGCACGGTGATATGTAGTCTTTGCGGAATGAAAGGTATGATGCAAGAAGTTGAAGAGCTTGTTCATTACATGATTCACGATGGTCATATACCCGATCTTGCCCTATATTGTTGCTTGGTAAAGAGCTATTGTGAGGATGGAAATGTAGATAAGGCGATGCGGGTTTTCAATGAAACACTAGATAGAAATTATATCATAAATTTAGATAGCTTTTCAGCCCTTATCAACGCATTGTGTGCCGCGGGGAGGCACAAGGAGGCCATAACAATTTTTAAGGACGTGTCAAGGAGATGCAGTAAGCTTGATCGAAATACTTACAAAAAGGTGGTTGACGAGCTGTTATGTAAATATTTAGGAGAAAAAAAAGAAGAGTACTTGACATAGCATCATTAGGCAATGGTCATAATTATGAGAGGCAAATAGGCGATTCATAACCATTCTGGCAGAGAGAATGAGTACTATTGAAAAATGTCTATCGATATTGTTATGTCTTAAACGTTTAGAGAAGGAAATTTTTAGATTTTGGAGCAGCAATGAAGTTGAGGCTGGTTTCATTATTATTTTATTTTTTAATAGCTGCCAATCTGTCATGAGAAAACGGTTCTTTTCTTTGTGCTCATTTTAGAATCACAAGTATCAAGGCATACCCCAGGCAGCATTATCACTTCCCTATATTGATTCAAAGTTTAATCTCAATTCTCTTCACGTATTGTATTAAGCAACAGTCGGATGTTATAAGGAGACCAACAGAAATACAAGGTCATAAAATTAAAGCCCTTGAGCATTTCCAATGTAACGGCAATGCCAAATTGATATGTTTAAATCTTGTCATTTGTGCTGAAAAAAAAAATCACTTTCTGATGAAATATTGTTAATTTTAATTTCTAATTTCTCCCACTTGGATAATGCTATGAAAGACACTTCTCAACTAATAGATTATGACTTTGACCGATGCACGCTTCGAATAAACCATTTCTACAAACCTACAAATTGCGCTTGACCATTTTTCAATGGCTCTAATTATTTGGTCCATCCCATCACCAAGATTTACTCAACTTCATGACTTGAAACTTGAAAACGAAACATTGGAATTTATATTGCTTGTATTGTAGCACACACAAGTAGTGCCAGTATGTGCTAAAACTTGAATTGACTAAACGAGCTAATAGATATAGCACTATGGGGGTGTTTGGTATGGGGTAATCATAAGGAATCATATTCCCAGGAAAGTGATGGAGGATAATATGATTCTTAGGAATAATACATTATTGTGTTTGGTTTCATACATAAATTTTTCTCAAATTCTTAGGAATATTACATTACTGTATTTGGTTGTGCATGAGAATGTTGTGAATTAAAAAATATTTTTTTAAATGAATAATAATAACGTGGAAATTTTGTTGCGCTTGACCATTTTTCAATGGCTCTAATTATATGATTATTAGGAATAATACATTAATGGGTTATGGCAATTAGGAGAGAAGGAAATAGAGAGAGAAAAAAAAATCAAACGCGGAAATTTTGTTAGGAAAATTGAGCCCTGTATCGTATGTTAAAACTTGAAAGTGGCGTTTTTCATTGAAATGAAATGACTCCGTATAGTGAAGTGAACAAATGAAAGGCCATTATTATCACTAGATTCCGTTCTTCAGTGAAATTGATTGTATGCTTGTTTTGGTGAAACCATAAAAGGCAAAAAAAAAAAAAAAAAAAAAAGACAACTCACCCTTGAAAATTTAGTGAACATGAGCAATAAGACACATTATAAACAAAATGATATCATAAAAGTCCCTACACACATTTAAAGTAATACTACACATTTCTTTAAATTTTTCCTTGTGAATATAATTTGTATAAATATATTTGAAGACTGGAACAAGGAATTTCCCATTGCAAGAGAAAATAATCCCATAAGCCTCGGAGCCAGCGAGCACCTACAGGGCAAAGCTCATCTCCTTCTCCGCAGCTTCGACTGGGCCCCACTCTTAAGTTGGCCAAATAACGAGCTTCCTAGTCCATCCTATTCAGCAACTTTAATAGTCCAGTACACATTTGGGGCCTCTTTTCTTGTAGATATGGCCCAAAATCTGATCCTCTTGGCGGATTTTCCTCTACCCTATCAAATCCAGTTAATCAATCCATTTTCTTCCGATTCAAGTCCGCATCACTTCTCTCTCTCTGTCTTTCGCTCTGAGAGGTCAAATATTTTCCAATCTTTCCCTCCTTTTACACTTTCTCTCTCCTCTCTCTCTCTCTCTCTAGTTTTCGATCTTCACTCTCTCTCTCTCTCTCTCCTTGTAACTGGGTTTTTCGGCCGTCAGACATGGACGGTGGTGGTACGTACAACCCGCGTACGGTTGAGGAGGTATTTAGGGATTTCAAAGGCCGACGAGCTGGAATGATTAAAGCCCTCACCACCGGTACTTGGCTCTTTTTCTTCTCTCAATTCTACACTTTTTTCGGGTTTATATTACGAATTCTCTGCGTATTGAACGTGATTTTCTCTTTCCCTCTTTCCCTTTCCCTTGGTTGCAGATGTCGACGATTTCTATCAGCAGTGTGATCCTGGTCTGGGTTTTTTCTTTCTCGTTTTCTGTTTTTTTTTTGGGTCATTTATCTTCAAAACGATTTTTGTTTTGTCAGTTTGAAGATTTTTGGAAACGGAAGTGAAGTAGGGTTTTTGGGTCTGAGAATTTTCGTTGATAGAAATAACCTTAACTTGAATTATCGAACTTTCTGTTTAACTTGGTTCAAGTTACTTTTTCTTGTCCATTGTTTATACCATTTTAACGTATTTTTACGTTTTTAGTGTTCTCGGTTTTTCGTTTTTATTGCATTAATTGTGCAAGTTCCTATATTTCTAGGTGTGAAAATTCGGATTTTTGGGTAATTTTGTTTCGTTTCAAGATTTTATTGTGTCATTGCATGTCCCTTTTTATTTATTTATTTTTTTGGGAGTCTAATTGCATGTTCCCGATGATGCGTAAAACTTTTAATTTTGTAACATTTTTCGGTATTCTTAAGCTTTTATGCTACTTTCTGAATCAGTTTTCTCGCCTTATTAACTCCAATCAGCTTTCATGATGTTTGAACAAATTGGATTCATTGCAAGTTAAATAATAGCATGCATATATATGCCTGATTGAGTGACCCAGTACTCATGGAGTTCTGCAGTTGGTTCTTTTCATCTCTGTCGAAGTTGACCAGAGTCCAATTTATTTAGGGTTGCAAAATGGTCTTCTAGAATATCCAGGACACTTGCTATGACAAGTTATTCTTATTACAGCATGTCGACAGAATGCATGGTCATATTGGGTCTTGTATGTCTCTTTTTTTTTTTCATTTTCATTTTTTTTATTTTTAAGTTTCTGTTGATAGTTAAGGCTTTATGGTCCTTATATTTTTATATTTTGTTTCTGGTGCTGCACTAAATTGGTTACAGAGGCAAACCTAGGATTAGGTTGGAACTTTCTGTTGTGTCCGAGGGCATAGGTTGCTGATCTTGAACTGGTACTGTTAAAGAAGCCTAACTGTTATTTATGAGTTTTTCCTTTCGTTTTCGCACAACTGAATGCTTTTCGTCATTCTAGATACTACACTTATTAGGCTTTTGTCGCAGTTTAGTATGGACCCATATTATACTTTTTATTTGTTTTCTTGCCTATTGGACGGATATTATTCCCTATTCACCTCTATAATGGTCATAGAGCCGCCAACAGTGTCCTAAATTCTCAACTGATCACACAGAGAAGGAAAATCTTTGTCTTTATGGATTCCCAAGTGAGCAATGGGAAGTCAATTTACCTGCTGAAGAGGTTCCTCCGGAGCTTCCAGAGCCAGCGCTAGGTATCAACTTTGCTAGAGACGGGATGCAAGAAAAAGATTGGCTATCCTTGGTTGCTGTCCACAGTGATGCATGGTTGCTTTCTGTGGCTTTTTATTTTGGTGCTAGATTTGGATTTGATAAGGCTGATAGGTATCCTTTCTTTACCCCAGATTGAATTTTTCAACAACTAGGTCAATGCTAGTGTTTATACACTTTCTGCTGGTGAACTGCTTGTTTAAATGGGCTATTTTTGGTTTCACCTTTTAAATAATAATTTAATATTCTGCTTTAATGTTTCATTGTTTCCTTCAATGTCTTAACTTTCTTTGCAGGAAACGTCTATTTAATATGATAAACGATCTTCCAACAATATTTGAGGTTGTGACAGGAACAGCCAAGAAACAAGTCAAGGAGAAATCATCAAACTCAAATCATGGCAGCAACAAATCTAAATCAAACTCTAAGGTAAAGATGACTTGTATTGCTAGAAGATTAATAGCCGATCCTAGATCAAGACTTTTAAGGAGAGGTTTAATGGTTTATGAATCATGGAATGTTTTCATTATTGCCAATCCAACTGTACCAGTGGGTAATTAGGATTCAAAAGGTTTTTGTATTTATAATTATCATCAGTAAGAAATTATATGGACGTTGTTCCTAATGCGGAAATTTTTTTTTTTTTTATCAAAGAACTACGTAGGCACCTAAGAATTTTGTTTGAATCTTCTTTGTGCATTGTCAAATGTAGCGAGGTTCTGAATCTCAAGGCAAGTATTCAAAGGCAATGCAGTCAAAGGACGACGAGGAAGAGTGTTTGGATGAGGAAGATGAGGAGGAGCATGGAGAGACACTTTGTGGGGCGTGCGGAGAGAACTATGCTTCGGATGAGTTTTGGATTTGCTGTGACATCTGCGAGAAGTGGTTCCATGGAAAGTGTGTCAAGATCACCCCTGCAAGGGCCGAACACATCAAGCAGTACAAATGCCCATCTTGCAGCAATAAGAGAGTCCGGCCTTGATGTTTCCCAAGGAATGGGTTGTCTCTGTAATCTGTGTGATTGACTGCTAATTTCTAGTAGGTCAGGTTTATTAATCAGTTTCGTGTCTGTAATGTTAGGGATTTTTATCTCAGATACAATGTCCAGGTTGCAAATCTACTTGTTCAGTGTTTTCTTGTGTATGATAGGATATTTATGTAACCAGGTTGGAAATCTCTTTTTTCCCCTGCTAGCATGGCATTTGTTATCCATATGCACGACTTCAACTATGTTCATATGATAACTGTTTGCTTGTGATTAATGATCGCTAAGCTGTGCTTATGGTTATTAAAAAAATCTGTTATCACTGAATCTCATAGTTCATATCTTTACCCGTCTTTTAGTTTTGGGTTAAAGGAATAACTATAGGTTTGATCATAAGATTCATCAAGTGTTATTTATATGGAGAAAAATCTTTTTTACTAGTCGTAAATGAAATATTTACACGATAAACTATTATTTACTTCAAATGGTTTTAAAATATGATATTTACTTAATTTAGTTTCATAAATTTGATATTTCCTACCTTCTAAAATAAAAATAAAAAAACTTTAAGTAATTTATAGGATTAATTACAAAAATTCATCTTGAACTATAACCGTGTAACATTTTATCTGAAATCTTCAAAACGTAACACTCAGACTTAGCCCCCGAACTAGAGTTGTCAAACGTGTCGTGCCGGGCCGGCACAGCACGCTTGACACCAGGCCCATTAAGGGCCTGGGCCTTTCTTGGCACGGCCCTGCACAGTGCAAGGTCATGCTTGGGCCGGGCTTGAGAAGAAAAACTCAAGCCCGGTCCAGGCCCTTGGCCCTAGTCCATAAGGGCCAGGGCCGGGCCTGGGCCTAGGCCCTTCACGGGCCGGGTCCGGCCCTCGTATTTTTTAAAAAATTTAATTAAAAAATATATATCATATGCCCCAAAAGATGTGATTTTATTGAATTGACATAATAGGAGTACACATAAATGACTGCTTCGTTAAAAACCTTGCTAAGTAAAACCCGTGGGGAGATCGGGACAAAACCTTAGTGAAGGAAAAAAGAGTGCAGTAGCTAGGAATAGTAAATTACAAACTTAAGTGCTTCTAGAAGATTCTGTTATTTTTAAGTTAGAAAAATATTCTTGCATCGAATCATCTGTGTATTGTTGTTTTCGTCTTCTGGCATCTTCCTAGTCTTTAACGCACATTAGCCCCTCCAAGATATCTGGATGCATTCTACTTCTCTTCTCGTCAAGAATTCGGTTGCTTGCGCTAAAAGCTTGCTCCGATGCTACTATTGACACTGGAGTTGTTAGAATGTCACGAGCTATTATAGACAGTGTTGAAAAATGATCGGTTTGCTCTTCCACCACTATAAGATGTCTAGTTTGTCGTCATTGATTACAATATTTGCTTCAAAATATTTTACTAGTTCCGTAGACGGTTGTGTTGAGGACGATCATGTCATTTTCTCTTTCTTCTTCCAGAAACTCCACGACGATCCTTTAGGCCCCGAACTGGTAGTTGACGATGAAGTTCCTTGTTCTTTTTTACCTGTGCTGTATTTTGCTTCAAACAAACTAAAAAATCTTTTCTAACATTTTCTTAGCGTCAGTAATACTTAGTTGCATATCTATTTCTAAATTCTCTGCGGTAGCAGTCATCAATGATTCAATTCCATCTACTCCGCACCTAGGATCTAAAATGGTTGCCAACGCATATAACATAGGACAACCTGACCAATAACTTTTAAATTTATTTTCCATTAACTTGTAGCTGTATTAGCTGACGCATTATCAAAAGTAATTGTTAAAACTTTATCCTCTATCCCATAAAACCTAAAAATTTCCATTATTGTACTAAAAATAGATGATGCGTTATGAGGATATGGACATAAACAAAAACCAATTATTTTTTTTTAAAACCCAATCATCATCAACGTAGTACGATGTGACACATAAATATCCAGTTTTATTGCACCCCTCCCACAGATCAGAAGTGCAAGAGACAGTAGCATTAAAAGTCCTAAAACTATCAACAAGAGATTGTCTCATTGCATAAAAAATTTTCATGCAATCAGAACGAGTTGTGTTTCTACTTACCCGTTTAAATTGTGGGCAAAAGGATGTCTGGATGAATTCTTCGAACGAGGCATCATCTGCAAAAGAAAGAAGCAATTCGGCACTAGCTAAAAATTTAGCTAGTGCCTCACGAGCACGTTGTGCATCGCATGTAAAATTTTGTAATCCCTGTGATGTGAGTGATAGTATTTGTTGGCGGGAGTCCACACTCCCACCTTGGTGCAACGGTAGACGTACTTTCCAATGTCTATCTAGATTACCAGTACCCCCACCATTTTTATTAGAAAAGTATTTTTTACAATATTTACATACGGCACGAATTTCCATCTCACCTGTTTTTGGATTTAGTCGGGGCTACTCGGTGAAATGCTGCCATGACGGAGAAGTTCGCGGTCTTTTTCCCCTGCTGCGTTCTCCAGTTTCCTCATTGTGCACTGAAACATTATCCACCGGAACATTTCTGGTTTAGTGGGGGTGGGGTGGGGAGGCATCATTTCTTCCTCAAAAAATGCCTCATCACTAAGCTCAGGAATAGCAGTAAAATCAGGGAAGTTTGGTGCGGCCATTTTCTGGAAATTGATAAAACTTGATTGAACTTTGTAAATGAAAGAACAAGAAAATGAATGAACACGAGAAAAAAGCTTAGAATCAAAATCAAAGAGACAAGTTGAGAGATAGAATTAGAGTGAGATGAGAAGTTGAGAGTGAATTATTGTATGGGATTTATGGTGGAATTAAGGGGTATTTATAGGGGATTTTAGTGTGAAATTCTGGATTCTAGCCGTTGGGCCCGCGAAGGGCCCCTAGACCTATTGAAATAGACTGTTTCATGGGCCGTTTCGCGGGCTTGGGCCGGGCCAAACAATGGCTGAATTAGGGCTTGCGCCGTGCCGAACAAGGGTCGTGCCGTGGGCCTCCATGTGCTTGGGCCGCGAGCTGAGAAGCTGAGGCCTATCCCTAGCCCACTACACGTGCCGGGGCGGCACGGCCCGTAACAATAGCGAACCGGGCCGTGCCGAATCTGACACTATTACGGGCTGGGCCGGGCCGTCCATGAACGGTCCGGCCCATTTGACACCTCTACCCCGAACTGAGAATTATTAACAAAAATATTCATTCCGTCAGTTTTCTAATAGAAAAGTGACACATATTATGTAATGGGGGTAATTTAATAATCCTACATGTTCTTGAAAAAAATACTACAAATTAAAATTAGATCTTTCTAAGTAATTTTCTTTTACTTAATTAATTAGAAGAGTAAATTAAAAATCTTGTGTTATTGTTTTATTCTATTTATTATTATATACTAAATTAAAATTAAAATTTATTTTCTAAAAATATAAATCTAAGAATCATGAGTAGAAGAGTAATTGTGTACAAAATTGTTTAGCAACAATCAATTTTTATGTGATATATGGCAATCCCATTAGAAACACTAACAAAGTGAGTATTTTTGTTAACAATCCATATTTCGGGACAGAATGAATGTTACATTTTGAGATTAAAAGGTAAAGTATTACATAAATAATAGTTTAGGAAGAATTTTTATAATTAATTCTAATTTATATTAGGATAGTGACATTACAAAGGAGCTCATTTGGTTTGTTGCCTAGTTTCTCTCTGTAAATTACTCATTTTTTTCTTTGACAATAAAGACCTTGTTAATTTTATTAGTTTGAATCACAATTAAATTATAATTATTGTATTTTTTTTTATAAAAATTTAAATTTAAATTTAATTTTTTTTGTTACAATATATTTTTTAAATTAAATTCTTAATTCAAATGATGGAAAGTTTTCCAAGAGGAATGTGGTTGAGTATAGAAGAGGATTCACGGAAACAGATATTTGGATTATTATTATTGTTGGTATTATTATTATTATTATTATTATTATTATTATTCGGGCGGCTCTTGTTTGTTGGATAACGTGGGTCCCTGTAAAAATTGTTGGCTTCTTCCACGCTGGCAAGGAATAATCTTATATGGGTTCGGGTAAGGAGTAGGTGAAGATTGAAAAAGCTCTCCTGGTCTTATTGGATGGTGAGATTTGATTGAACAACGGAAGATAGATTTTGCACTCACTTTGGCCTGGAAAAAACTAACGCAACTATCATTACCTGTCTGAACGGTTGGATTAAGAAGAACGATCATTTATTACAGGACTTGAGTTTGCAGTTTTTTAGGTCTAAATTCTAAAAAAATATCACATCTCAACTTGAATTAAAAATTTAAATTCGCGAAGTAAACGAATTAGTGTACAAGTGATCCGCGACATGTTAGGTACAGTGACAGAGTTAGTTTTTTATTTTAGTAAAAGTGTATATTAAAATTTTTTAATAAATTATTTTAGTAAAGATATATAAAAATATATATTTATTTTAATGTAAGCATATATTATGTTAATGAGAATTTAAGCGTAAAATTTTAAAATTTTTAAAGGTAATATTTAAAAAAAAAAATTTAAGTGAGAACAGTAACTCTTATTGAGCTGTACTTAAATCCGTCATTGATCAGGTATATAAGTGAATTAACGTGAGAAAAATAGGAGAACACATACAGTAAAAACTTAAATTATGATTCGAATTTAAAAAAAAAAAAAAATCGCCACTTCTTAAACTTTTTGTTTATTAGGGCTGCTGTATAGGATAAGCTGCGAGTCCTATAGACAACGACGAGAGAGAGAGAGAGAAACTGGGGGCTCGTTCTGCCCACTGTTTCTCTTAGCTCAATGGTCCACAGAAACTCGTAATGATGGCCAACGTGTTTAAAATGGTCCATAGATATTTGGATCGGCATATGGGTTTTGGTTGTCATCAGCCTATGGATTTTTACCCCCCTCTTTTCGTATTATTGATACTACTGGGATTGCTGGTTTATTTGGAATATCCATGACATCCGTCAGAATTTAGATTCCATGACCTCCTTTTTCATGGTAAATTTCCTTTTAAGATGGTTATAGATCTTTTCTTTCAAGAAATTTCTATGGTGGGATTTGTCCTCTTTAATTATCTAGAGTTACTCCTATTAAAGACCTGTTTAGGAGAAGTTTTTAAAAGCTGTGTTTGGTTTTTCAGTGTAAAAGCTACTTTTAAAAGTATTTAAATGATACGTTTATATTAATTTTTTAGAAGAGTTTTCAATTAAAATTACATTGTGACTTTTAAAAATAACACTTTTGAATATACTTTGAAATTTATATAAGAATTTAATTAAGACATGATAAATTTAATTCTAACACTTTTATTACTTATTAGAAAATTTATAAATTATTTTGACCCATTAAGCTTTTAATTCTAAACACTTACTAAAAAATTACAACTTTTATTTTTTTTTTTGTTACGAATTTTTAACGTAGACATTTACAAATCACACCACTAAAATCTTAATTCAATAGATAAACAATAGTTTTTCTCGATAGTTCAAAAGGATAATTCATACCTTGTAATTCTCCTTTTTCTTTTTCCATTTTGCAAAAGAAAGGTACACGAGATACCTTTAATTTAGGCATATACAATCTGTATATTGAAGTTAATGGGATGTAACAGTTTTTTTTTTTTTTTTCAAATCACTCAATGAAAAATACGTTTTATAATATGCACATCTTCTAAAGATTATAAGTGAGATCAAATCCATAATTACGACCCCAAATACTTAATTTTCATATATTATATTGTATGTGTACCATGTTATTGATTTGTTAAGGGATCTGTCTTATATTTGAGTAGCGGGGATACATAAGAGTATTAGGTCTCGTTTATTTTGCGAATTTAAATTTTTAATTTGAACTGAGATATGATACTTTTTTAAAACTATTATAGCAAAAAAAATTAAATGTGACATTTTTTAAGAATTTTTAACTGTATAAACTTAAAACTGAAAACTCAAATCGATGAAAAATGAACCATGCCTTATTTTACTCGACTAAATGCTAGTAAATCTTGAGTTCAGACACAACCTGTCTTGTTGAGCTGACTATCACCCTATGAATTGGCGCACTTGTCGTGACCTTCTCAAAACCGTTGAATATTAAAAATCACACAAAAAGGCTCTACAAAGAATTGAATCCATATCTTCTTTGGAACCTCTAATCAGACCGTCTGTTTTTTACCAAGTAACCCCAGTCATATATGGACCGTTTTTTAGCCAGGAATCAAGTGTCACTACTGCTCAAGGCTCTAAAATTCCATAATGCATATGCGGTGTCTCGGGAATTTCTACTTAATTTACGTTTTTTTCTTTTGTACTGATAATTTAAATTAATGTGACCATGATTAAATAGATTAAGGCCTCGTTCATTTCGCGAATTCAAGTTTTTAATTTGAGTTAAAATATGATTTTTTTAAGAGCTTTTCACTGTAACAGAAAAAGTTAAATATAATATTTTTTGAGAATTTTTTATTATAAAAATTTAAAATTAAAAATTTAAATCGGTAAAATGAACGAGACCTTAAAATCTTTGAAGGCCATCCATTATCTGGTGAATTTTCATGTTTGTTTTTTAAACCAAGTTGTCTTTTCAGTTTGTGAAGTCCTTTTGTTGGCACCATAAATGAAACGCATTCAAGGGTAGGTAGGTACAGAAGAAATTAATTCCCTCGTCTCTTCAGCACATTGGAGGGTGGAGCCAGCCAACCCACTTAGCTTTTTCTTTAATTTGGATTGTGCATGTGTGCTCCAAATTCTACTTTATTTATGAGAATAGTGAAATTATAGCATATATTTTGCCATAAGACAAGAGAAGTGGGCAATGTCTTACGTCAACAGATTCTTTAAAACCACATGACAAGGAGATTCTAATCATCTGGGCAAAGCACATAATTCCAAATTTACTGCTTGAGCATCATAGAATTCCTTTTCTTTTATTTATTCGGTCTTTGTTACTGTTCCTTAATTGCACTTTATTTGTTTCTATACGAAATCATGAACTATCAAAATGAGTTTGATTTTGTAGAAAGCAAAATGCCAAATGCCATGGAATCATTTCGCTCACCAGTACCTAGATGGTGCTTAGAGAATCAAATTTCTCCCCACCATTGAGTAAAAGTTAAACTTCCTCAACAAAATTCATGCATTAAACAGTATGGAAGGAGAAACTAAGGCATAAGCACTATTATTACATGAAGTTCAAAGAAAGGGGCAAAAAAGAAAAAAAAAATTACATATTTACATTATAACCCGCATTATCTCCAACGCTTAATTAGCAACTTTCCCCAAAAGCAAAAGGAAAAGAATTTTAACAGTAATCTAAAAACCAACCAAGTAGAGACTTAATACAGCCAAAGGCAGAAAACATATGAAGATATGAAACTTAAAAACAAAGAGCATCTCTTCTTGACTCTCACCTTTGGCTGTTTCAAGTCAGAAGCCATCCCTTGTCTTGGTAGATAGCCGCTTGAGAAACTCATAGGTAGTGATCATAGTTGTAGCCGACATAGCCATGGAAGCCCACCTTGGCCCCAACCCTCTGTAACAAGCGGCAAAACCACCTTCCTTCACTAAACTTCTCACCGTTTGCACAATAGTTAATGGCCTTCTCTGCCCATTTTCCTCTCCATCCAAAACCTGCAATCTTGTCTTGATAGTATCTAATGGCATGGTAATCAAAGCAGAAACCCCACTTGCCATAGCCGCGCTAAGCCCTTGAACCGCCACATTGGCTCTACAATCAGGCCTAAAACCATTAGTACAACCACCACAATCATTGACCATATTACCATTCTCGTCTTTCTTTCCCATGTAGCAACCAAAACCACCCCAAATTAGCCTGTGCGCCACAGAGTAAGAAGCCCACCAAACCGCATTGGACGGTGCATAAGTCAATATGGATATCCCAAATCCCCTATACAACCCTCGCAAACCATCCGAGTAGACAATTTTCCTGAACGCGTCAATCCCATTTCTATACTCGTAAGAACTCACACTAGGGAGATTGCTTTTGACACTATTGTGACAAGCACTCTGAACCATCAGTCTCTGGCTCACAACGTCAATTGGGGTCCAAACCAATTGAGCAGCCATGGCCGAGCTCAACCCCGCCGTAGCATTCGCGATCGCCATAGCCGTCGTGTCAGAGTAGCCCAATTTAAGTGTCACCGTGCCAACGCTGCTTTTGGTAACCTCAAGGGCCGTCATGTAAAGAGCACGGGCCGGGATGGTTCCCATCAAGGAAGTACCAAAACCTCTGTAGAACCCCCGGAAGCCCTCGTGCCGCATGATCGCGAACGACATCTTGAAGCAGGAAATCGGCGTTGGAGAGACCTGTTGGCGGGTCTTTAGGACGACGACCGGATACAGAGCTGCGGAAACACCGGAAAACAGAGCAGCTCCAAGGAAGAAAAACTTGGACTTGTCAAGCATGTGCCAATCTATATCTGCCGGGATGTGAATCTCCGAAGCCGAATCGTCCTCGGCTGTTCCTAAGCTCATCTTCGCCACTTTTAAAAACCCAATATAAATCTAAGCAAAGAAAAGAGCGCACAAGCACAAAACAAAACCCTTTTGCCAAACTTTGAAATCCAAAATCTAACAAGTTCTTCTGTGATTAGAAGGTTAAGCACTCTAGTAAGCTTAATCCCAACTGTTAGCTAACTATAGTAACAAAGAGAGAGAGAAAAGAAAAAAAAAAACTGACGACAGTGAATATTTGATGTGAAAACTAGAGATTTCTAGTGTGTATAAATGGTATAAGATCAGTTATTGAGGTAATTAGTGAGATGGGTTTCTTCTTTTTTTCCTTTTTCGCAACCAGATTAGAGAGCGGACGTGGATCAGCATAAATGGGTCGACCATTTCTCGATGCAAAAAGCTGAATCGGCGATGATTATTAGCGGTCTTACCAGAGTCGGAGGCGGATCGTCATGGGAACTCATCATCGTCTTCAACACTTGATCATCATCGTCGTCGTCAAAATCAACGGCGTAGATTGAAGAAGACGAAAGAGATTTCACGGCCAATAGTAATATAGAGAGGTTTGGAGAATATGGAGGCGCTGAGAATGAGATGGGCGAGAAAAAGGGTGTCACAGAAAGCGAAATGGATTGCCCATAACTCACAAGGGTGGGACTGACGAAGAGAGAGGAGAGAGAGAGAGAGAGGGCTTTAACGGAAAAGCGCAGACAGGATTTATGGATTATAGCGAGGGTTTTACGGATCGAGGAACTGGACACGTGTCCGTTATCATTTCGAGGGTAGCCGGTTTTGCACCCTTTAGTTTTGCCTCTGATTTTTCTTACTAACCTGTGGGTGGCCTGACCACCTCATTCACTACCGGCGGCGGATTATTCGGTTTGCTTGAATGCTCTTGCATTTCGCTGCTGGATTTCTTATCATGTATTTCAGTTAGGTCTGAAAAATTACTCTATTAGAAAAAAGGATGAAAATGTCGATGTCCAATTGGCTTGTCAAGGTTTTGATTTATAAATAAAAGGTTGAAAATGTCATCTAAACAGATATTTTGAGAAAAAGTAGATATATTGAAGTCCCGTTCATTTCGCTAATTTAAGTTTAGAATTTGAGTTTTATTACAGTAAAAAGTTCTCACAAATAATCACATTTAACTTTTTGCTACAGTAAAAAGCTCTCACATAAAATCACATCTCAACTCAAATTAAAAATTCGAATCATCGAACTAAATAGACCCTGAGTTTTTTTGTTTTAACTGTATAAAATGTTAAGATGATCCATATTATTTAATTTGAATAGTTTAATAACAAAAATGATAGATTTTGGATTGAAATATGAGAGTTATGTCACAGTATAATAAAAAATTATTAAGTTTATATACGGAGGATTATGATTTCAATATAATTTTACATACTCATTAAAAATAATGTACAAAATATAATAGAGTATATAAAAGTAACTACCAAACATATCATAGTATACTGTTGCGTGATTTTTATGCATCCAAGTGTACGTGTCGCAATTAAGTAATAAAATGTGAATAAGAGTATCGATTTTACAAGATTTGGATCATTAATTGTAAAATGTAGAAATCAACAAGTAAAAATGTAAAACAGATGAAAATAATGGTTTGATGCTATAAAGGCTAAGGAAAGTTAAAGTAAACAAGAACTGACAAGATACACACTCAGCTAACAGAGATAAAGATCAATCAATGGTGGAAAGATTGAGATTCAATTTTCCCTTTTCTATAACCTGGGCTACGTATGCTAGAGCATTGCTATAACAATGATGCTCAGTTAACCTGAAACTAAAATTTACACAAGAGTCTTCCGATCTCTTTACTTTAATTTCAGCATATTCCTATGAAAAATTTAAATAGAGAAGTCGTATTAAACTTGGGTTTTAATTGGGTTATGTGAGTCAATTGTATATTCCTATACTACTTGTAAATTAGCTAGATCCACCTACAAAATTAGCTAAACTCACACTGTTCAATATTGGTCTAATTCCAATCAACTTTTCAACAAATTGAAATCACAATATTTTGTCCAAGATGGCCAGTCAATAAACAAAAATTAACAAGAAAAATTATATTGAACGAACCAAATAAACATTAACATAGCAAATTTGAGCATACAAACTTTTAGTCACAGATTTAGGTACGTTATCATCCCAACCAAATATATATTTTGCTCATAATTGTCTTAATAAACACGAAAGAGTAATCAACCATCTTCTAAGTACAAGGAGAAGGGAAGAATAAACCAAATTAGAATAAATAGCAGTAAAGACAATTGAAATCCAAGAGGATAGTAGCGTCTTCTTGTAGTTCCACTCCTCTGAATTTAGCTCTAATCCCTCTTCTTCCTGAATTTGGAAAAATGGTCGTTTCTCTCCTTTTTTTTTTCTTTTCTTCTCTCCTTGGTTTGAATCTGTTCGTCAGAGTGCTCTCCCCTCTGCAGCTCATTCTTTTCCTTTTATATGCTAGGGTAAAGGTGACATGTACAAGTGTGCAAATCATCAAAGGCTGAGATTTCTTTGATGACCACATAGTGGTTGTGCCATCTTGTTTTGTCTTATTCTGCTCGTGAGAATCATTAAGAGGGTATTTGGTATGAGAATTCATGTCATAGTTCGAATCATGGTTCGTAGCTCGCTACAGCGTTTTCTCTCATAAAAAACACACGTAAACTGAGAATGGTTCTAAATCCGTGAACCAAATGTCTACTAAATGAATGTCAGTTGTATTTTATCTTGCCAGCAGGATTCAACTCACTTTGTCTTTGCTCCAGTTTTGCTATAGCATCGCTTGAATCCCAATTTCTTGCTCTTTTACGCCAAACTCCTGCTTTCCTTCTCCCAAAGCAATGTCTTTAATTCCTGCAAAGGAGTGAAATCCACAGTTTAACAAAAATTCTTTAAAATATTGAAAGATTCTCAAAAGGATAGATAAATTGCACTAAAACTAAATTTTAAATATAAAAATTAGAAATACTATAGCAAAGTAACAGCAAACACAAAAATTAGCCAATTAATGCACAAAAAAGGTAAAATAAGTCTATTTAATAGACTTATCATATACATATAAATTTCAAGTGTTTTTAATATCAAAATGAGTTTCTACCATGATGGAAAGCATTAGGTAGGTCTTAATCCTAATCTAAACAATACATTGGCCAACATATATTATCCTTATATAGTTCTGAAGATAGTTATTAATGTGTCACATGTATGCTTCTTGATCTTTTTCCACTTTTAAATCATAAATTAGATATTATTGGTTTATCTAACTTGATGACTAATTTTCATGAATATATAATGACATCTCAAAACTAACTTATGGAGAAACTAATATATCAAAGAAAACACATTAGTTTTGTATCTATGCATTAGACCCCATTTGAGAACTATATAATAATTACAACTATATGAACTTTGCTCACTTTCTACACTCATGAATCAAAACTCAATGCCACAAAATTCTCATCACTTTGATTCATTTGAGTCATTTAACGTCCTTTTACATGTTTATTTTTTTTCCCACCATTCAACTGTCACATTTATTGGAAGAGAATAACAAAAAAAAAAAAAAAAAAGTGTTGCAAATTTTATTTTCTTGCAAAAAAGAAAATTTTCTCAATGTGCTTAGACATTTTGTGGACATTTTTAAAAATATCATGAGTATTAACGAATATTCATCGGTATTACATATATTTTTTAATATTGTGGACATTTTATAGGTACTCTAAAAAGAGTATCTCTCATCTCTATCTATGTTGAGACTTCAAAATATAAAAAATATCTTAGAAATGTCAACAATGTCGTGGACATTTTCATCCATGATTATAAAATGCTAGTTTTAACTTGTTAGATTTTAATTAAGTTTTGTTAAATTATCGTCCTTAAACATAATGTGATCGATGGTAAAAGATCGTGTTTATTAGTGGGTTCCAGTATTTATCTATACATGATGAGAATACCCTTTTAAATAGTTACTAACTAGCCTGAGTCACGTGCCTTTGGCGCTTGCTTGCTGTGTGGCTATATTTAAAAGAAATTGTTATAAATTTATTGTCATGGCTGAGAAATTTATCAGTATTATTGTATAGGATAATATTTCTTAGAATCCTTTGTATCATTAATATGAATACTGTTATGATAAGTATTTGTTAATATAAATATGGAATAGCAAGTTATAAGCTAAAATTCAGAAATTTCTGAACTACGATGCAGTTATCGATTTTTAAACTGTATTTAAGAAAGAAGTATGGAAAGTTGTGTTCAGCCCACAAGTGGGTAAACACATGAATGATAAGTTTAAGAAATGGAAAAGAATTGAAAAACATCAATTCTAGGGTTTTAGAAATGATCAGAACTAGAAAACGGACGAAAAAGGAGTTCAGAAGGCCGAACCGAGAAAATTGGGGTTTCGATTGATTTGAGTTGACCAAGTCAAAATTTGTTGACGAAGAGTCGACCAAAATGTCACCCTCAAAAAGTTAGTCAAGAATGGTCAAGTTTGACTAAGTTGACCAACTGTACGAAAAATGCGAATAAAACGCGTACCGGATAAGAATTAAACTGAACTAAAATAGGATAATTATTAAATGATTAATGGTTGAGATTAAAAGTGAAAAATTGGATGAAGGGCTGAGATTTATCCATGTGGCATCCAAAGGTGGCCGGCCAAGCTTGGAGGAGAAGAAAAGGAAAGATATTTTTGGGATATTTTGTGGAATTTTGCAAAAAAATCATTGGAAAAATTAAAATTAGATTTTTGGACTTTTACTTTATGTATGGTAAGTTCATTAAAGGTATATCACATGAGAAATGATCATTTCTCATGCACAAGAACAGAGAGCATCAGCCAAGGGAGAAAGAAAGGAAAAAAAAAATCCAAAGTGAGAAAAAGAGGGATTTAAGCGGAAATTGACGGAATTACCGAGGAATAGCATCACCGAAGCTTGTTCTTCACTCTCTAAGGTGAGATTTCAAATTTTACCTCTCATTTCATCACTATGGCTGCACGTGAGATGTGGTAGAAAGCATGAGGAAAATTTCACTTAAGTATGGTAGTTAGTTTGTAATGGTTAAAGAACTTAAAAGTTGATGAATTAAGGATAGATTCTAAGTTAATTGACCTTTGTTTCTATCAATTTTTGGTATGGATAATTTTTATGGAAATATGAGGAAACCCTAGAATTGTGATGTAATTGAAAGAGAAAGTATGTGAATAGTGTTTGATGGTAGAAATAACAGATAAAACGAGCTAAAATTAGCTTGGGAAACATGGAAAAGTAGGTGGAACTCTGCCGAAATTTAGTTTGAAACTTTGAGTTAAAACCAGTTTTCATGAGGAATAAGAAATTAAGATATGAAAAATAAGTCGATTTGATAATCAGTGTTGTATAGAAACCGAACACAATGAGGAGTCACAGTTTTGGATCAAAACTGAAAAGTTAGGCCCAGACTGAGGAGAGAGCACTGTTTTCGTGCAAATTCTTGAGATAAAAAATATTTTGGGAATGAATACCAAACATAAGGATTGTAGAACTTTCCGAATTAAATTTCAAAGTAATTATTTATCTTAGATTTTGAATCTAACGATAAAAAATTTATGCAATAGGATCGATTAACGATCGAAGTCAGAAAGCATCAAGTGAGACAAAGGACGCATCGTTAGCGAAACTTTGGTAAGTATCAGTAGTTTTTCTTGTCTACGACATGAGTAAATTTATTTTTCTATGTTGCTCAATCCGAGCATATTGTAGACTAAATGTATGCTAGAATGTGAAAGATGACTCTTGAATGTTAGATACAATGTTATGCATGTATTTACAAGACTTAAGTAGTCGTAGAACTTTATTCTGTGAATAGTATGTATCGATGCTAAGTCGAGGTCAAGTGAAGAGAAAAAGTTAAACTTTAATGAAAAGTCAATCTCATGATAAATTGCTAAAAAATGCACAAAT